GGGGTGATCAGGCTGGCAGGCAGAAGCAGTTAAGGGGCAATCAGGCAGGCAGGCAGGGGAGCGGTTGGGAGCCCAGCAGTCCCGGATTGTGAGAGGGATATCCCAGATTGGAGAGGGTGCAGGCTGGGCTGAGGGACAGCCCCCCCCCCCCCAGTGCACAAATTTCATGCACCAGGCTCCTAGTAGTATAATAATTAGTACACATGATTATTTGGTACTGAATATAGCTAAGAAAATTGCCTTTTCTGTCAATTTGGGATTTTCAGGAAGCCAATAAGACCGAGTTCAAAGTGGAGGTTTACTGAGGGGTCCACTGTGAAAAATAAAGAACGGGGAAGGAGGAGGGGGTCGGGACAGCTTCAGCCGTCCTCAGCCAGCCCAGCAGGGAGCTGCAGAGTGAAGGTGGCCTGTTGGAGGAATCTGCTGGAGGCAGAACTGCCCGGGCCCTGGTGTCCTCGAAGCTGCCACGCCCATTAGCCTGGGAACCAAGGCCGATGGTGAAGGTCCTGGAAGCTGGTCAGGGAGTTCTAAGACCCGAGCAGCAGTGAATTTTCTTTCCAAGTCCTCACATCATTCCTTTCACATGGGGTTCATCCTTTCGTTACCAAATAGAATTGAGAATATATTTTTTTCTTTCAGTATAGATGAAGCAGGAAGAGCTACTGAAAGCATATCATTGAATACTAGGTAAAATCCAATGTCTTCATTGCTTTTCTTTCTTTTTCTTTTTTTTATAAAATAGCGTTGAAATAGCCCTGCAACAAAATGAAATCACGAACACATTTATTGACGACTGGAAAACCCTGGCGGAAGAAGAAGGCACCTTTGGGGACAAGACCGATACCCACCTGAAGGAGTACCAGTCCTTCACCGACCTTCATAACCTGATGGAGAAAATGGTCACCTGCGTCTCCTGGCACCCGAATATCTATGGTGAGACGGAAGAGACGGGGGTTCTCTTTGTGGTGACAGCGAAATAGTCGGGTGCTTTTATGTGGAAAATTGAAAATTAGCTCCACCTCAATCGGAGAACTTCCGTTTGCTGAGTGCCAGGCACCTGCTAAGCGCTCTCTTCCCGCACCTTCCCAGGGCCACGCGTCCTCCCAGCTACTCTGGGTTACCCAGTGTGACCTCCACTTCACACCGAGAGGACAAAGCTCCACTCGGGGGAGTGGGGGGCTCAGGTCCCCGGCGGGGGCAACGCCGAATCTGGAGGTGACTCTGGCCGGTTGGGTGGGATGCCCCAGGGAGATAGCAACCAGTGAAGATGGAGCTTCGTTCTCCCTCCTCCCCGCCCCTCCCCCACACTGTTCCTTTCCTCACACACACAGAAACATTTTTTTTTCTTACTAAATCTTCCAAATCCAATGTTCATTTTATACTACCGGTCATCTCAGTTTGGACTGGGCACATTTTCAAGTGCGAAGGAAGTGACATGTGGTTGCCGGTAACCATGTTAGACAGTGGGACTCTAAGAAAACGCTTGGGCTCCTGTAGAACATTTTTACTCACGTTTCCTCCAAAGGGAAAGGAACAGTGACTGTGTACAAAAGCAAAACCTACAAAGACTTCACCATGTGCGGCTGCTGCAGACCTTCACTGTAACTGTGTTTCAATCAGGACTCATAGCTGTGTCGGTGGCCGTGCGGCTCTCCTTTGAAGAAAGAGTTTACTTTTCTGGTAAATTATTGCTGCAACCATCACTGATTCTGTTCTGGAGTTTCTCCGACCCCATACATCCTCAGGTAATGAAGGAGGGACGTTGCATGGTCTACAAGTTTCACAAATTACTGTCACGTGTCTCTTTTAGCAGTTTCTTTTTTTTTAAATTAAATCTTTATTGTTCAGATTATTACATTAGTTACTCTTTTTTCCCACCATAACTCCCCTCCACCCAGTTCCCACTCCACCCACCGCCCTCACTCCCCACCCACTGTCCTAATCCATAGGTGCACGATTATTGTCCAATCTCTTCCCTCACCCCCCACACTCCTTCCCCCCACCCCTGAGAATAGTCAGTCCATTCCCATTCTATGTCCCTGATTCTATTACAATCACCAGTTCATACTGTTCATCAGATTATTTATTCACTTGATTTTTAGATTCACTTGTTGATAGATGTGTATTTGTTGTTCATAATTTGTATCGTTACCTTTTTCTTCTTCTTCCTCTTCTTAAAGGATACCTTTCAGCATTTCATATAATACTGGTTTGGTGGTGATGAACTCCTTTAGCTTTTTCTTATCTGTGAAGCTCTTTATCTGGCCTTCACTTCTGAATGATAGCTTTGCTGGGTAAAGTACTCTTGGTTGTAGGTTCTTGGTATTCATCACTTTAAATATTTCTTGCCACTCCCTTCTGGCCTGCAAAATTTCTGTTGAGAAATCAGCTGACAGTCGTATGGGTACTCCCTTGTAGGTAACTGATTTTCTTTCTCTTGCTGCTTTTAGGATTCTCTCCTTGTCTTTTGCTCTTGGCATTTTAATGATGACGTGTCTTGGTGTGGTCCTCTTTGGATTCCTTTTGTTTGGGGTTCTCTGTGCTTCCTGGACTTGTAAGTCTATTTCTTTCACCAGGTAGGGGAAGTTTTCTGTCATTATTTCTTCAAATAGGTTTTCAATATCTTGCTCTCTCTCTTCTTCTGGCACCCCTATAATTCAGATGTTGGTACGCTTGAAGCTGTCCCAGAGGCTCCTTACACTATCTTCGTATTTTCGGATTCTTTTTTCATTTTGCTTTTCTGGTTGGGTGTTTTTTGCTTCTTCGTATTTCAAATCTTTGACTTGATTCTTGCGATCCTCTGGTCTGCTGTTGGGAGTCTGTATAATATTCTTTATTTCAGTCAGTGTATGCTTACTTTCTAGTTGGTTCTTTATCACAACATCGAGGTTTTCATCAGTCTTCTTGAAGATCTCACTACATTTATCGGCGGCTTCTAGACAGATCTTTAAAGACCTTAAAAGTGTGGTTTTGAACTCTATATCCAGCAGTTTGCTTTCCTCCAATTCTGTCGTTTGTGTCCTGTTTCTTTGTCTCGGCATTTTTTATGCTTCGCTGTGTCGATAGAGTGCCTTTCTCTCTTTTAGCAGTTTCAATTGCAAAGTGCTTTATAATCACCAATGTTGTAAATCCTTATCAAGTCAGGCTTTTCTTCAATTCGGAATTTATAATCATTCAATTTGAGGAAAATGAAAGTTTACACTTAGTTTATTGAGAAGGTTCATTTAAATAAATCAACATGTTATTTAAAAAAAAAAAAGACTATAAGAGCCCTGGCCAGTGTGGCTAGGTCGGGACATCATCCCATGCACCACAGGGTCATGGGTTTGATTCCTGGCCAGGGCACAAACCCAGGTGGTGAATTCAGTCCCCATTTGGGGGTGTTGGGATGTAACCAATTGATGTTTCTCTCTCACATCGATGTTTCTCTCTCTTCCTCTCCTTCTCCTTTCCTCTCTCTCTAAAGTCAATAAAAACATATCCTTGGGTGAGACTTTAAAACAATAAAAAGAAAAGATTGTAAGAAGAGCATTCAAATAATTTTATTTTATTTATTTTTTTGTTAATCCTTACCCGAGGATATTTTTCCACTGATTTTTAAAGAGAGTGGGAGAGCCCTAGCCGGTTTGGCTCAGTGGATAGAGCATCGGCCAGCGGACTGAAGGGTCCCAGGTTCGATTCCAGTCAAGGGCATGTACCTTGGTTGCGGGCACATCCCCAGTAGGGGGTGTGCAAGAGGCAGCTGATCGATGTTTCTCTCTCATCGATGTTCCTAACTTTCTATCCCTCTCCCTTCCTCTCTGTAAAAAGTCAATAAAATATATATTTTTTAAATAATAAATAAAAATAAAGAGAGTGGGAGAAGGAGAGACAAAGAGAAATATTGATGTGAGAGAGATACATTGATTGGCTGTCCCCTTTATGACCAGGGACTGGAATAGAACCCGCGAACCTTTCCACGGGCTGATGCTCTATCCACTGAGCCAAACTGGCTAGGGTTTAAAGTACAAGCTCTTTTATGAGCTTTATTTAAATACTTATTGTTCAAATGCAAATAGATTTTAGTTTCACACAAATTTCCTCAATTCCAAGGATCACCAGTAGGTGGTGGTGATGAGTAAAGATGAGTGTGTAGTAGTGTGAGGGAGAGCAGTGATCCTAGAGAGTGCACAGCCCATCTGTAGGGACAACTACTCTTCAGTTCTCTTATTGGTGATCTCACTTGTCAAGAGAATCCAGCAATTGGGAATTTTGTGTGAAATCTCCAAATTGTTGAATAGCTATTCTAAAACCAAACCAAAAGTACCCACTCAAACCAAACCAAAACACACAGCAATCCAAATAAAACAAGGCTGAAGGCTGAGTTTGCCCCATAGGGTTCTATTTCCAATACCCGCTCAAGAAGAGTTCTGCTTAGGGGGAAGGCACTTTATAAGGTTAAATGAAGTTTTTTCAATGGACTTAAGTATAATAATAACTTGTTTCTATAAAGTATTGCATAATTAAGACTTTCCCTAATAAATATTAGCCTCCCCTTCTTCCTTCTTCCTGAATTCATCTGAATTAAGGCAGTTTTTCTGTAATAGAGTCTAGATACTTTGATTATTATAGACTCGTAGATCAAAATGACAGCTCTCTAGGTATTTCTTATCAGCCTACTTACCACAAAAATGGTGCCATTCTCTTGGTGGGGTTTTCTGTCATTGTCCAGGGGTGTCAAACTACTTTCCACTGTGTGACATAGAATGTGCCTGAACATCAGGCAAATAGCAAGATAAAAGACTTCTCCTTTCCTCTATTTTAAAGAATAGTTTTAAAAAAACAAGCAAATAATTTCTTAAAGAAATAATGCAAATGATTTATTTTGTCTTTGTTCTAGTAAAAACTATAGGAGAGTATTACAATACTTTATTTTCAAAAGTAGAGGTTTCTCTAGAATCCACAGAATACCGAATTAACCAAGATCATTCATCCCAATTCCAGTTGGCAATCTTTAACCCAATGATGGCAAACCAGTGGGGCCTATATTTGCGGTAGTTGTTTGTAGAAGAGCAGTAACCATGCAAGTGTTTTGCTTGGTGGTCACCCGGCAGCACCAGCGCTACCTGTGGGTGACATACCTATTCCTTCACACCAGTGTATTCCTTGCAGAGCTTCCTCCCTCCCCTACAAGCCCTTGAATTCGTTTACTTCCTGGGTCCTGTATTATTTTAAATTTTGAGATATCATCACTGGCAATACCTTCGTCTTCTCTTATGCAACGTATTTTATTTTTGCGTGCTCACCATGTGCCAGGCTGGGTATACAGCAGGGAGCAAAACAGGCAAATATCCTGCCTTCCCAGAACGTACTTTCCACACTTTTCGAAAACATTGATTTCACGTTCCTTTTGCTTGAGAAAAATTATAAGATGTCCCAACAATGACCCATGGAGCACGGGGGAGGGTGGATCTGGTCCCCTTGAAAACACATCTGCTCTCCTACATATGTCTAATGTCCGCAATAAAATTCAACAAAAGCAGCTTCTAATTCAGAGGTAGAATTCTGGGAATGGACTCTGTGCATGTTCCTTATGGGTGGCTATAAAATGGGACTTTTGACTGTCTTAATATTATTTTCTAGCCATTCCCTTAGTAGGTTTTCTCACTCTCTTGAATTTGTGGGGTTCACTTTAGTTAATGCTGGAGAGCCCAGACGACATTTTCTGCTTCAAGTTCTGTCCGAGTAACCCTAATATTATTGCTGGAGGCTGCATCAATGGGCAGGTACGTATGGACTTTTTTTTTTTTTTTAGCTATTTATTAATTTAGACAACATCCTGTAATACATTTTGATTGGTTGATTTTTTTTTTTAACTTAAGAAGTCAATTGAGCAGAAGGAAGGCATGTCGTTGTTGGCCAATCACCGTGCCAGCAACTGGGGAATAAAGATGTGTTAGGGGGTTGGATGATGGGAATGTTAAAAAAAAAAGGGGGTTGGATGATGGGAATGTTTAAAAAAAAAAAAAAAAAAGGAGAAGAAGAAAAAAGAAAAAGCCTGCCTTCTGTAAGTAAGTAAATAAATAAATAAATAAATAAATAAATAAATAAGGTGTTGGCGCTGCAGGTGTCCACAGGGTAACCTAGTCATGATAATTGGGACAAAATCGGTCAAATCTATTTGTATCGCTGAGATAGAATCATGCGTTATACCAGATTTAACGGAAGAACAAAACCCACAAGCATTAATACCCACTGGTCAAGAGGCCTCTTGAAATTTCCCTAGATGTAGGAGTTAGGAAGTGATACAGAGTTTAAACAGAAATTCACTGGAAAATATACATATATTATTGAATTTATGTGTGCATAGTTTGATATCATGTTTGTTTGTTTTTTCCTTTGTTATCTAATTTATATAAAATTTAGGTCCTATCCTCCAATTGCCAGTTTCTCCAATAAAGAAAAACAAAAATCTTAAACGTATTTTTTAGTCAAAGTTTGAATTCACTGTGATCCAGTGAATTTGAGCATTACAAGAGTATGTGATTCTTGCTGAAACCGGTTTGGCTCAGTGGATAGAGGGTCGGCCTGTGGACTGAAAGGTCCCAGGTTCGATTCCGGTCAAGGGCATGTACCTTGGTTGCGGGCACATTCCCAGTGGGAGGTGTGCAGGAGGCAGCTGATCAATGTTTCTCTCTCATTGATGTTTCTGACTCTCTATCTCTCTCCCTTCTTCTCTGTAAAAAATTAATAAAATATATTTTTTAAAAAAATTTTTAAAAAAAGAGTATGTGATTCTTTTTTGGTATGGCTAGGAAAACTTCCTTGTCGTTGAAATTTAAATGTCTACAGTATCCGTGCCCATTTACCGAAACCAAAAGCATCCAGGAAAACTCTTCTCCCTGGGTTTTGTCTCTGATGACGACCCAGACACCATCCTCCAAGCCCTACAAATCCTGACATGCCTTGTTTTACTCATTAGGAAGGTTATACAATTTTGTTTTCATTTTAGGGTGTGTTTTTTTTAATAAAAGCAAATAATGAAAATAAAAGCACCCATAATTCTGTAATTCTGAAATTTTGTTAACATTTTAGTGTACTGAAATGACTTTTAATCATTAAAAATTAATATAACTTAGTATTGCATATCTACTTCATTCTGATTTTTTCAAAAAACAACCATGCGTGTATACGCAAATTTGGAGTTGGCCATAATATCCAATAGAAAAAAATTCATCATTTCTTACACTTTTTGGACAATTGAGTATGTATATTTAACTCTGGAGAACAAAACAGCTGAGTCTAAAACAAGTGTCCCCACAATCATAGCACGTTCCCGAAAATAGAAGGTGAACTCTTCCCAAAGTGGAGGGAATGGCATGATGTTTACCTTGGATTTTAGAAATTACTGGCATTTTTTAACACAAGCACAAAAATCAAAGTGTTGAAAATACTTTCATAGAGAAGAAGACATTCTTTTTTATATTAGCTTTAAAAGTTGCTGCCTTACCTAAGATGTAGGCTAAATTTGATTATCCTCCAAGGTGATTGATTTATCCAAGTGCTAACCAATGTGAATAGGTTTTAAAAAATTCTTTAATCCTGAAAATGTGTAATAACATCTACTTCTGCTTCAGATCATCCTGTGGGATATTACTGCACATGCTAGTCGCATAGAGCACGTTAAGACAGGCAGCAGTAGAAGTAAAAAAGCCACACTCAAGGTTAGTTTTTTACAATTTTTCCTCCATTTGGAAGTTTATTTAAAAATACTTCACAGCAGAGTTGCCAAGTTAAATAAAGACTCAGTGGGGGGGGGGGCTCTATTTCTCAAACCTTCACATCTGCTTTGAACATTGTTCTGAATCGCTTTCACGTAGGCCCTTGATTAAAACACTGCAAAACCAGTGGCACCGTCTATCCCAGGTTGTTAAGTTCTTTTTTTGTTGTTATTGTCATTAAATAAAATGAAGTGGCAGGTGAGTTTCCTAAAGTGATGTAGTTGAAGGAGCACTGGACAGAAGACCACGTTCCCAAGCTCTGGGTCATAGTCCTGTATGTTTGGACATTTCCCCACCTGGGCAAACATCCATTTTCTCATGCATAACATGAAGGGGATAATAATATACTATGATTTTGAGAAGCTGTGGATTCTGCCAAGAAGGTAGGGGAATGCTTCCTGAGCTCCCAGCTCAGTACTTACCCACACCTCCGCCCCAGTTCTCCAACCTGGATGTCAACAGGTCTCACACCAACAAAGGGATGTGGCCTTGTGTGCACACAAAGAAGTACTTTTTCAAAAATGGGACTTCATTGATTCTTTAGGGAGTGGGTCAACAATTTTTGTTAAGTTTAGCAATAAAATCTTAGACTAAACTGAAGGGAAAAGTATATAATGTTAGTCCCTCAATATCCTATATAATAAAGAGGTGATATGCAAATTAACTCTCACGCCCTCACAAGATGGCTGCCTACTACCAGGCCGGCAGGGGGGTTAGTGAGGGACGACCAAATGACTGAACAAGCAGGCTGTGTGGGGCAACCAGGCCAGCAGGGGGGTTAGTGAGGGACGACCAAATGACTGAACAGCAGGCTGCGTGAAGGGGGGGGCAGTTGGGAGCAACCAGGCCAGCAGGGGGGCAGTTGGGGTGACCAGGCCAGCAGCGGGGAGCAGAAAGATGGCAACCAGGCCGGCGGGGGGGTGCAGTTAGGGGTGATCAGGCCAGCAGGGGGGAGGGGAGCAGTTGGGGACGATTAGGCTGTCAGGAGGGGCAGAGAGGGGCGACTAGGCCAGCCAGGGGGACAGTTGGGGGCAACCAGGCAAGCACACAGAGGCAGTGAGGGGCTGTCAGACTGGCAGGGGGAGACAGTTAGGGGTGACCAGGCAGGCAGGTGAGTGATTAGGAGCTAGTGGTCCAGGATTGTGAGAGGGATGTCTGACTACCGGTTTAGGCCCGATTGGATATCTGCCGAGGGGTCCCGGATTGGAGAGGGTGCAGGCCGGGCTGAGGGGAACCACCCCCCCTTGCATGAATTTCATGCACCAGGCCTCTAGTATGATATATAGAAACACTAGTTTCTGTTTTTCCATGAACTGGTATTTCTCCAAGTTATTAATTTTAATTATTCTGATGAGTCAAGTATGAGTTCATTCATCAGTGCTCTGAAGTTAGCACATAACTTTCTTTTAACAATTTTTCAGCCCATGTTTCTCCTTGAACCAAATGATAATAAAGAAGCAATGTATATCAGACACTGTGCAGTCTCCTCAATAGAAAATGGACATAGGAAAGTAATTACAGATATACACTGGCTGTCGGACGCCTTTGAGGTGAGTCTCAATGGCTTCATGGTTTCCTTGTGCTGGATTGAAAATGTTTGGAAGGTTTTGTCCAAAGAGGAAGTTTCAAGTCAACAATCCATTTACATTTACTAGTACACTGTGAAATAACCAGGAAGTGGGCACCCAACAGTTGCGTCACTGTTACCAGACCCATATCTGAGAGTAAGGCCAATGTTTCAACCTCCATGGTTTAAAAGCACTGAAAAATGTAGATGTTGTCAACGTTGACATAATATAATAGCAAAGAAGATGAGGATTTGATACATAAATGTAAAGTGTAAATATTTTATAACCTTAGACTGAGGATTTAAAATTTGGAGCAGGCAACTCTAAAGATCTAAGACATTTAAGAATATGTAATTTTGCCAAGGCAGCCTTGAAGTGAGTGAGCCCTGAGGCTGGGAGGCAAGAACTAGCTGTGCAGCAAGGGAGCCCAGCATTGGCATTGCAGTTTGGCTCTGCGGTTCCATACTTGATTCACAAAGTCATTTTTGTGGATTTGTAAACTAGTAAGATCCCCAAATGTCTCACTCAAGGACACTAAAAGTCTACTGTGTACTTTGAAGGATTAACAAGTGAGATAATAAAGAACTAGAAGCCCGGTGCATGAATTCATGCACAGGTGGGGTCCCTTGAGGTGGCCTGTTGGGATCAGGCCAAAATCCACAGTCCAATGCTGCCTGCAGCTCCTACCTGCTGCTCCCACTCATCCCGGCCCCACTGCACCTGCCACGGCCTCACGCCCAATCGGTCCCGTTCAGGAGAGGCTCGCCAGCCATGAGCCCTACATCTGGTGCTCTCCCAAGGGGAGTGGCCTGCAGGATCAGGTCAAAAACAGCTCTCCAACATCCCCTGAGGGGTCCCGGATTGTGAGAGGGTGCAGGCCAGGCCAAGGGACCCCACTGGTGCACAATTGGGGCCAGGGAGGGACCGTGGGAGGGCTCCAGGGCGTGTCCAGCCCATCTCACTCAGTCCCAATCAGCTGGACCCCAGCAGCAAGCTAACCTACCAATCGGAGCATCTGCCCCCTGGTGGTCAGTGCATGTCATAGCAACTGGTCAACCATTTGACTCCCCCCTGGTGTTCAGTGCACTTCATAGCGAGCAGTTGAGCAGCCTTAGCATATCATTAGCATGTTACTCTTTGATTGGTTAGCAGTCAACTGGTCACCAGACTACCGGACACTTAGCATATTAGGCTTTTATTATATAGGACATGTGAAAAATTAGAGCTATGAAAGGTGATTAGCCCTTTTAGGTATTCAAATGGATCATGCAAAGCAGCAATACTTCGAAAAGTTAAAATGGACCAAAATAAATAGCCCAGATATAGTTTCTATTATATATAAAAGTTTAACATATGGTAATGGAGGTTACAACCCAAGAGAAGGAACTCCATTTCAACTCATGCCATGCACACAAATTAATTCAGGTAACTATACATTTAAATAACAACAACATCACAGGAAAATTACAACAAATCAAAATACAATATCATATTTCTGGAATGGAGATAATTTTCTAAACTAATTTACATTGGAAGAAATCTAAAGCACACATGTAAATTTCTCAATTAAAAAATAAAGAGCAAATAACAAAATGAAGGAAAATGTGTCCCAAATATGGTACATACAAAATTTCCTGGAAATAAGCAAAAAACATATACTGACTGAAACACAGTGTACTAATATAAAGATGAAAGTCATTTAGCCTTTCTAATATCAAAGAAATTAATAATAGAGCAACAATAATGCACAATTTTGGACCTCTTTAATTTTTGAATGAAAATTTTAAGTAATACCTGGGGTTGGAAACAAGGAGATGGTGCAACCCACAGACTCCAACATTGTTGGTTCCAACATAAAACTTTTAGAATATAATTAAGCAATGTGGTTCTTGAAGCATCCAAGTTTTCAAACTTTTGACCAGTAATTCACATGTTGGGAATTCACACAAAGAATTAATGCAATTTGTGTCTCAAGATACAAAATTGCATGCACACCCTGACAAATCATGCTGAAGTGTATCCATAAAAAAAGATTGGAAAAAAAATACAAGGTGAAATTATATTTAATTTTAAAACCTATTTTCCAAACCTCCGTAATATTTTTTAATAATCTACACTAATAAAAGAGAAAGATGCAAATTGACCGTCACTTTGAGACGCCCACCAGCCAATCAGGAGTGTCTCTGCAAATTAACCTGACAAAGATGGTGGGTTAATTTGCATATACAGGCGCCGGGTCCTGGGATCAGGCATCCTCGGGCCCAGGCCACTCTGAGCCTGTGGGCCCAAATGTAAGCCTAGAGCAGGCGGGGTCCCAGAACAACCCCTGGCCACTCCGGGCCTACGCTCACAGGCGCTGAGCAGCCGAGGGCAGGGCAGGAACGTCCCCCGCAGCAAGCGAGCAGACAGCAGTCCCCCACAGTGAGCGAGCAGACAGCAGGGCCCTGCTTGCCCCTGTGGCGGTGAGCCAGAGAGCAGACAGCAGGGGCCTGCTTGCCCCTGGCCCCGGCAGTGAAGGGCAAGTAGGCCCCCACAGAGAGCAGACACCAGGGCCTGTGGTGGCATCAAGCAGGCAGGTCCACAGAGGGTAGAGAACCACGGGGAGCAGGCCTAAGCCATCAGTAGGACATCCCCTGAGGGCTCCCAGATTGGAGAGGGTGCAGGTCAGGCTGAGGGACCCACCCCCCGTGCGTGAATTTTGTGCATCGGGCCCCTAGTTAAAACATAAAACCCCCAGAGCCAGCACATCTCTGGAGTCTCACACTTTCTGCACCGGAGAAGCTCATTAGCAGGAGAGGCAGCGTGGGTTCTGGATTGTTTATCAGATGCAAGTGGAGGGTGGCAGCTGTCATGGAACCTGACCCAGGCAGCCAGAGCAGCATCAGCCAGGTTTCCAGGGTCCGGGCTCCTGTGATGCCAACAGGCCTTCCCAGGGCAGCACGTGCAGCCCTCCCCACCCCCACCCCCTCCCTCACTGTTTATTTGCTGCTGGAACCCCCATCTCCACTGTTTTGCTCATCGATCCTACCAGGACCATAGTGAATTGGGGAAGGTCATGTTTCCCTGTTGATTTGAGAGTGGCACCTTCACAGGTGACCCCAAAATTTTTCACCTCATTTGAGAGCTTAACTGGTTGGAATTTGGATCTTCCAGGGCCCTGAGGAGCATTAACCCTTCTTGTAACCCTCTGTGTGCTAGCAGAGCTGGGCCACGGTTACTCAGAAAGTGTAGGTGCCACGACATTGGCTGCATGCTGGATGGTGTCTACTTTAACACTCGATGGATTTTACCTGCTTACCAACCTCATGAAAGCGCCTGTGTTGGGCGCCACAAATAATAGTGAAAAACAGAAAGAGCCTACATGTCTAATAATAGTGGGTAATGAAATTATGATATGTAAAATTTGCAGTTTGCATCTGTATGTTATAAAACTATTAGCATGATTCATGAATACACTTTTATAAGATACAGTTTGCATCTGTATCTATAAAACTATTAGCATGATTCATGAGTACATTTGCAGTTTGCATCTGTATCTTATAAAACTCTTAGCATGGTTCATAAGCATTCGAGTTATAATCTCAGGCTAGAAATTTACATGCATGCTAATTAAAATGGCATAAAAATGTTTCTGTGAAAAAAGACTGGAAAGTATATGACAGAAAGGCATTCGATTTTAAAACCTGTTTTCCAAATTTCTGTGATAGTATGATGCTCTTTTAATAAAAATTAAAATGAAGAAGAAAAATAAAAATATGTAAAAAGCTATGAGAAAACAGTCTTTGCTGTTCTAAGTACACAGATCTTACGTCCTGCGTATTTTTTTTAAACATAGATTAACAGAATGGGTTCTGTCTTTGAGAATCGAAGTGGGATATGCTGCCAGCTGGTCACCTGTTCGGCAGATTGGTATGTCTCATCTAAAATGTTACCTATATTATGTCCATACAACATATTCTTTTTTCTTAGATGTTTCTAAAATCATTGTTTTTTTCTGTTCCTTAAATAATCTTTACTGTAGTGATTAAACCTTATATAACTAAAGGAAAGAATTTTATAGATTGTTGCTGGTTCAATTTTTTTTTAATTTTTATATATTTTTATTTATCTTTATTGTTGAAAGTAAAGTCCCCCCTTTTTCTCCATTAGTCCCCTCTCTCTTACCCCCAGCCCCACCCCAGGCCTTCACCGCACTGTTTATATAGATACAAATATGTTGTAAAACAGAATTAATGAGGTTTCATGGTTAATACTGTTATATAAGATTATCCAAAGTAATTCTGCTTCATCACATTCTTATATCTGTAAATTTGCAGTTTGCATTGTTTACATTCAATTTTATCTCACAGTTATGAAGAGTACAATGTTTAATTTGGAAAGCTTTTACAAAGTGAGAGTTTTAGGTTTTTATTGCAAATTTATAAAAATGCTTTTATAAACAATTTGGTAACCATGTTGAAGAATGCTTATTTTAAAAATTTCAGCTTCCAATTTATAGAACTCAAAATTCATAATGAAATAGGAAATACGAAGAGTAATACTATTATCTAGCATTCAAATTCTGACAAAATGTTACCATTCCAAGCAGCTTTAATCCCAATAGAAACAATGATACTTCAAGCCGTAGACTCTGACAGCAGAAGCAGCAGCTGTGGAGTGGCAGCCAAAGGCATCAGTAACATCAGTATAGGCAAGGGGTGCAAGAGACACGATTAATCCTGGGGGCATGTATGGGTAAGGTTCTGTGATTGCAAGCAACAGAAATTGGCCATGGCTAACTTAAGGAGACAAAATAAACTTATTGGAAATACATTTATTCGAAGTTTATGCCAAAACTCTACTAAGTGCTTTAACAAATTAAGTTTTTTATACTTGTAACAACCTTGAAAAATGCTATGGATAAAGGAAATAAGGCTCTGAAGGCAACGCTCACTATGTATAGTGAGTTATATATGTAGTTATATCCTAGACTAGGGCCCAGTGCATGAATTCATGCACCTTGAAAGGAACTGTGGGCCGCGAGGCTGCAGTGGGCACAGGGCCGGGTCTCGGCCCATCCTCCGTGCCCCCGCCTGGCCCCTCCTGCCTTGCCCCCTGTCCCCTGTTTGCTGGGAACCCTGCTCCCGCCAGCCCCGCTCATAGCCGCTGACAGTATGGAGCAATTGGGGCCAGAGCCAGCAGCAGGTGCAGTTGGCAGCTGCTGCCCAGATCACCCCTCAGGAGCAGGGGGGGGGGGTGGAGAAGCCCTCAGGGACGATCAGGGCCGACAGCTGCTGCTCACACTCACTGACAGCACCGAGCTATCAGGACTGGCGCCAGGTGCTGGCAGCAGGTGGGAGTGGGGCCGGCAACAGCAATGGGTATGAGCGGTGGCTCTGGCACCAGCAACAGGTGCGAGCGCTGGGTGAGACCATGGCACATGGGAGCAAAGAATTTTCAATAACCAACAGAGGCTCACCCCAATGACAGCAGCCAGCACCCCGCCTTGGTCTGGCGCCCCTGCTCACCTGCTCCACCATCCAGCAGCGGCCAACACTCGCCATGGTCCACGTGCACCCTCTGGTGGTCAGCGCACGTCATAGCAACTGGTTGTTCGGTTGTTCTGCTGTTTGGTCTATTTGCATATTAGGGTTTTATATATATAGATTATAGCTAGTAAGTAATGATGAAGAAATGAAGAGCTAACTCAGGCTGCAGAAAGAGACCTGTGGAATTAGGTCACAGGAATAAATGGCCAGCCCCTTCATTATGAATGAATCAGTTCCAACCCTTGTGTTACTAGCGAGTCTGATTGGCTTCTCTTACATTATGAACTCAGCCCTTTGGGGAGGAGTGGCAGAGCACTTTGAGTGACAGTTCCAACCTCACTGTATCCAATAGGAAAGAAGCAACTCCCCCTGAACATTTAGGAAGCTTTGGCTGAAAAATGATTGGGGAGAGGCTAATTATTCCCCAGGCAAAAGCAACACATGGCATCCATAGGGCCATATGGAACATCATGTCACAATTAAAATTATATTATTACTTAATGGAGAAATGCTTATGATATAATGTTGGTTATAAGCCACAAATGCAGAGCTACACTGCTCTTCAGTAGCCTTGGAAAACATTGAGAAACACTGAGCAGACTAAAAGTATTACATGTTCTATATTAAAGACATAGATATCTGGTTGTTGTTTATAATGATGGCCCTTGAATTTAGAAATAGTCTAAGAATAGTTCCTTCATAAGTTGTTAAAGTAAAAGGAAAAAAAATATGCATTTAGAAAAGCTAACTTTTAGTTATCTGGAAAACTCATCAGTCCTAACTTTATACTTTAGCCATGCTGAAGGTTTTATAATGTACTAGAATAAGATAGAATAAGGTTCCAATAATTAAGAATGTGTGACTGATTTATACAGAACACTCAAGTGAAATTTTATGTATTTAGCATAACCATTTCACAAATAATGCAAATTAATGGCATAAATAAGATTCAAGAAGAGCTATGTAATTTTGAAACAGTTTTAAATTAACTATAAATATATTATAAAATAAATCTTATTTCATTTGTGTTACTCTCCCAAGGATTTATGTTTTTACAGCACAAAAATGATTATTATTTTTAATAATTTTTAATTTTAACAGTGTTATCAAAATTAAATGAATTAATTTTATTTATTAATTGTTAAGATAAATAAATTATTAGTATTAACTAAATAGTTCACATAAATGAATACATGTTTTGTTACTCTTTAGTTACCATCCATTTATCTGAATACATATACATCAAAATATTTAATAATATCTTAAATTAATTAAATCAGGTTACTCATAACCTCAGTGATAGAAATTATGATGCTAATATGACAGACTTTTTGTGGTTTTCATGTTTTTACATAATTAATACAAAGACCCTTTATACTACAGTACTGTACAAGTTTTATTATAAATTTTTACCAAGTTGATTGCACTAAAAATAACACCATTAATGTGTGGAACTTATAAATAATTTTCATAAACATTATCTCATCTAATTTTCATAACCAACCTGTGAGGAAGGAGAAAGAAGAGAAATAACATTTATTGGATACCTACTGTGTAAAAAGCACATTAAATCCCACTCCATCTGTATATGTGGTGTTTTCACTATCAGTATATAAATGGAGAGTGGCTGCTAATCTATGCAGGCTTTCTTTTGGAGATCATAAAATATTCTAAATCTGATGTGGTTATGGTTGCACAACTCTGGATATATTTAAAACTATTGAAGTGTGCGTTTTATTTATTTTTTTTTTTAAATATGTTTTATTGATTTTCTACAGAGAGGAAACCTACTGTGTAAAAAGCACATTAAATCCCACTCCATCTGTATATGTGGTGTTTTCACTATCAGTATATAAATGGAGAGTGCCCGCAACCAAGGTACATGCCCTTGACCGGAATCGAACCCGGGACCCCTGAGTCCGCAGGCCGACGCACAACTCTGGATATATTTAAAACTATTGAAGTGTGCGTTTTAAATGGGTGAATTTGGGGGTATATGAGTTATATTTCAAAAAAGTTATGTTGAAAAAAAAAGTGCCACTCTCCTAATTCAATTCTCGTATTTTATAATATTAGCTTCAAGACCAGCAAGGTTATTAAGTAACCTTATGAATTGTTATAATTCTCTAAAATAAGAAATAAAAAATAATTTCATAAAAATCTTACTTTCAGAGACATTAAAATATAATCATGATCACATTGATAATGTGTAACAGTAAGAATAGTAGTCCTCAGGTTATAACACCTCTTATTTGTACTTAAAAAAAATGTAATCTTTTTTTTAAAAGCACAATATGTTTTTGGGATATCAGACAACAGAAAAGTACAACCTTTCAATCAACAGAGAAGAAGAAAGAAGAAAGTATTGAAATTCCTAATGATGTACCATCTACATTTTTGCATCTAGATCTCTCCTGGAAACCTCTCTCTAAGGTAAGTAACAGGATTTATTCTCTATACTATGTAATTCATATGCATAGACATGCATACGTACACTCTAAAAGTAGAGCAGCTCAAATTAACACAGGACTTTATTAATTCATGTATTTATTCATCTAATAAATTCCTTGATTGCATTATTATGATGCCTAACTACATCAAGCCAGAATCACAATTATTGTGAACTTGAAATTAATATTTGTTCATGTGTAAGCAAGCCACAACTTACAACTAATTTGCATAATTATTTAATTGTATATCAGTTGCTTGATGGTGGGTATGCCCCATGTTAGCCCAAAACAGTTAATTTTACCTATATTGCAACCAAAATTCCAGATCTTTTGCACATCAATAGTAGGAAAAAGTATTGTAATACCTATAACCACATAAAACTGAAAAGTAGCCCTAGCAGGTTTGACTCAGTGGATAGAGAGTCAGCCTGTGGACTGAAAGTTTCCAGGTTTGATTCTGGTTAAGGGCACATGCCTGGGTTGTGGGCTCGATCCCCAATAGGGAGCGTGCAGGAGGCAGCCTATCAGTGATTCTCTCATCATTAATATTTCTATCTCTCTCTCCCTCTCCATTCCTCTCTGAAATAAATAAAAACATATTTAAAAACTGTAAAGTAATTGAACAAGAAATTATTGGTACTTACCTTGAATGCAGAGCTTCAAGAAAAGCAATTTTTGTCCAACTGGGTAGCTCAATGGTTGAGCATCAACCTATGAACCAGAAGCTTACTGTTTGGTTCCTGATCAGGACACATGCCTGAGTTGCAGGCTCAATCCCCAGGAGGGGGCATGCAGGAGGCAGCTGATCAATGATACTTTCTCATCATTGATTTTTTTTATCTCTCTCTCCCTCTCCCTTCTTCTCTGAAATCAATAAAAAAATATTAAAAAAAAGAAAAGCCATTTTAATTTAATGCCCTGGCAGAATAGTTCAGTTGGTTAGAGCATCATCCCAATATACCAAGGTTTCGGGTTTGATCCCTGGTCAGGGCACATACCAATGAGTGCATAAATAAGTGGAACAACAAATCTCTCTAAAAATCAATTTTTAATTTAAATAAAAGAAAAGCAATACTCTGGTTTCTCTTCAGATTGCATAAATCTTTAGCCTTAAAAAAAAAGAAAAGCAATTTTAATTTAAGAAAGATATCACCGTAGTGGGTTGTGTCTGGGAAGTATGACTGGACTGCTGGCGTTGATGGCTCTCTTTCTTTGGAATGTCTAAGTCTAATTCCAAACTTAAACCTTTTTTAAAAAATTTGATTTATAAGTACTTCTAGAATTACATTATTTTGTATTTGAAGAGAGAGCATGAAGGGGTGAGAATTTTCCTGAAGTAACTGGGATTAGAAATTAGAAAGAGAGGATTAGAAATGTTCTGGGCTAGGATTCACTAAGCTTTAAATCATTGAAAAAGAAACAAGCAAACAAAACCTTACCTGAGAATAATGGTACAGCATGTGGACAAACATGCTGATGGAGAAAAGTTGGCAGGGAGCCATGAGGGAATAATGTAAAGTGTGGCCATTTTCTATGATGGTGCAGGCCCAGGGTACTTCTGAAACTCAGAGGCACGCCCCCCTCCCACCACTCCCACACACACACACACACACCTCCTCCCCTCCCCCGCCCCCACCCCTCACCCCACCCAGGGACTCAGCAGTGCTGTGCAGGAGAAAGGTCCCTGCACATCTTTCTGAAGCTTTTGTTTAACTGAAAGATTTAGGGAGGATGTGTTAGGAAACAGAAAACAAAACATTTTCAAAAAACACATAAGACTCTGGGATTTGGAAATGAGCCCCCCAGATAAGTTCCCTCGAGTAGCACAGTTTTAGAAACTGTAGTTGAGGCACTTTCCATGGGAAAAGCCAACTAGAAATCTGAGGGAGAAGGGAGAAGGGAGAAAGACAGGGAGGTAGAAAACAGCAATCTGGGGGCAGAAGGGCAAAGCGAGAATAATTTAAGGATATATGGAAATAATCTTCCTTGTATGTTCTTCCCAAAAGCTAAGACTGTCTAAAGGTGAAACAAGTTTAGACCACTGTCCAGTCAAGTTAAGCCTGGGTAAAGACCATCTCATTTACAAAACACAAGGTAAGTGCCTTTATTTAAAAAGCATTGAAGCTCTGGTCAAGATGGTAACATAGGGAAACGCGGCAATCACCACTCCCCACATCAAAATTACAATTAAAATATAGAACAGCCATCATTCACACCTGAAATCTAGATGAAAGGAAGTCCTACAAATAGGGAAATTAAAGAAGAAGCACATAGAGACTGGTAGGAAAGGTGGAGCTGTGGGGCAGAATCACAGAACCAGCTGGTCCCATACCCATGTGTGGTGGTTTAAAATCGGAGGGATATCTTGGCTGTGGAGGTTTCCCTGAGGAGTGAGGGCTCCCAGCCCCACACTAGCCTAGGGTTCTAGTGCTGGAAAGAGAAACCCCCACAGCCGAGACTGACCAGCATACCCTGAGCGACGGATGAATGATTACTCTGACACACGTTTCTGTGAAAGAGAGGGCTAAGGGACTGCCTGGCTAGAGAAACCAAACAGCCTCATTCACCTGCCTCTTCAGGCTTTTATTATAACAGTAGTTTGGGATAAAGTTTAACTTTTAGATACAATCACCAGGGTAAGCTTTCTTGGGAGGACACAGGTGTCTGCAGTGTCCTTTAGGCATAAAGATTAAGCATTAAATTCCAGAAAACACCTGAGAGCCTGCACATACACAGACTTGTTTGGAAAGATCAGGGAACAATTAGGGACAGTCACCTTCAGCCAACTCCCCTAGGGGATTCCGATAAACAGGGGTGGTTGCCTTCAGCCAACTCCCACAGAAAATTCTTTCAGAATTTCTTCCTTACAAACTTTCCAACCAGGTCCTGTGCTACACCACACCCACAGCTTCTGGCTGTAAAAACTAGCAGGGATTGCGGCTGAGTGACAGGAGGCTGCTGGAGCCACAGGCAGCTCCTCTTAAATGGCCCACACATGGACTCACTCCCCCTGAACTCTAGCACTGGGGCAGGAGCTTGAAAGGAACCTGGGACAATCAGGGAGGAACTAACTTGTCTGGAATCAGGGCGAGAGGTGGACAGGCAGCTTTCTCCCAGACAGAAGTGCTGGCAAAGGCCATTGTTCCTTTGATGAGCCCTCCCTGCCACAGAGCCAACAAACAGTTGACATATCTGAATCCTCATCAGCCTGGTTCACACTTTTCTCCCTTCCCTGGTGATTTCCTGACAACCTGCCCCTCCCTACTTGCAGGTTAAACGAAGCCATTTCCAGTGGCTTTTCCATTCAACAGGCCTCTCTCGTCTCATGCTTCAGACATTCCTAAAATCTCTCAAACAAGCAGCAGCTGGCCTGCTGATTTTGCACCTCCTGGGAGGTTCCAGAGCCAGTGCACTGGGTGGTCAGCTTTGAGCACACCAGATTACTACCCTATCAACTCCACGAGTGACACACTCAAGGGGTGGACACAGTGAGCACCAAAACCCCACTGAAGCAAGTCCTGCTCTTTAGGGGTGTCTTCTGCACAGCAGTGCTTCCACTTAGTCACAGCTGATCCTCACAATTGATTGGTCTTGGAGTCAATCCCTCCTAGTGATGCCAACATCAATCAAGGCTCAACTACAATAGGCACACAGCCCACACAGGGGCACACCTGGAGCACCAGCTCACGTGATTGGGGAAGCTGAGCTACTGGGCCCTACAGGATACCTACTATACAAGATCACTCTACCAAGTCTGGGAGACATAACAGATCTACCTAATGCATAGAAACAAACACAGGGAAGCAGCCAAAATGGGGAGACAAAGACACATGTCACAAATGAAAAATCAGGAGAAATCTCCAGAAAAAGAAGTAAATGAAACAGAGGCAAGAAAACTATCAAATATAGAGTTCAATAAAAAATGGTTATAAGGATGCTCAAGGAACTTACTGAGTACTTCAAGGAGATTAGTGAGAATTTTAACAACATAAAAAAGGACCAGTCAGAAATGAAAAATACACTAACTGAAATAAAGAATGGTTTACATGGAATAAACATTAGAGGATGCCAAGAATCCAATCAAGAATTTGGAATATAAGGAAGCAAAAGACACCCAATCAGAACAGCAGAAAGAAAAAGGAATACAAAAATATGAAGATAGTGTAAGGAGCCTCTGTACAACTTCAAGCAGACCAACATTTGCATCATGAGGGTGCTGGAAGAAGAAGAGAAGGAGCAAAAGAAATTGAAAACCTATTTGAAAAAATGATAGAAAACTTCCCTTACCTGGTGAAAGAAATAGACATACAAGTCCAGGAAGCACAGAGAGTCCCAAACAAGAGGAACCCAAAGAGGCCCACCCCAAGACACATCATAATTAAATGCCAAGGTTAAAGACAAAGAGAGAATCTTAAAAGCATCAAGAGAAAAGCAGTTAGTTACCTTCAAGGGAGCACCCATATAACTGTCAGCTGATTTCTCAATGTAAACTTTGCAGGCCAGAAGGGAGTGGCAAGAAATATTCAAAGTGATGAAAAGCAAGGACCTACCAGTATAACCAACGTTACTCTGCCCAGCAGAGTTATTATTTAGAAGTGTGAAGGTCAGATAAAGAGCTTTCCAGACAAGAAAAAGCTAAAGGAGCTCATCACTACTAAACTAGTATTACATAAAATGTTAAAGGGTCTTTTGGGGATAAAAAAGGAAGCGGAAGAGGAGGAGGAGGAGGAGGAGGAAGAAGAGGGAAAAACATGAACAATAAAATGGCAATAAATACATATATATCAAGAATTGAATCTAAAAATCAAAATAAATGAATAAGCAGAACAGAAACTGACTCATAGATACAGAGAACATTTTGATGGTTGCCAAATGGGAGGGGATTTGGGGGGGTGGGGAAAAAAGAAAAGGGATTTAGAAATACAAATTAGTTATAGCTTATGGACACAGATAATAGACAGGTGAAGGTGTGGAGTGGGAGAGGAGATGGGTGAGGAGGAACAAAGGGAGGAAATTGGGAACATCTGTAATACTCTCAACAATAAAATAAAATTATAAAAAAATCATTTGATAGTTTGAGTGTTAGTCACTTATATGTCTAAGGTTACTTGCTAGAATAGTCTAATTTGTTAAAAGAGTACCAAAAGTCAAACCCTCCAATATGAAACTTTATAATGGCTACTAGGGGCCCAATGCACAAATTTGTGCACCTTGAAAGGAACTGTAGGCCTTGAGGCTGCAGTGGGCACATGGGCGGGTCTCGGCCCATCCTCCACACCCAGCCTCTCCTGCTGTGGGCCCCTGGTCCCTTGTCTGCCGGCAGCCCCGCTCCCCCCCCCCCCCCCCGGTGGATTGTGTGTGCTGGGTTAGGTAACATGCATCTCGTGGATAATGTTTGTTTTTTTTTTTTTTTTCTCTATTATTATCTCTTCTCCTCCAGTGCATAACTACAAAAAAATAGATAGCTTCTCTTCCTTTTTCTCGCACACCCCGCGCCACCACACACCAAGAACAGAATTAATTATATATTTAATTAAAATATTATAATATAAAACAAAATAACTCAGTCATGTATATTTTTTCCTTCTGGTTTGTTTTCTTTTTTCTTTTTCTATAATAATATATAAAATATTTAAAAAGACTAGATTCCCAGCCAGGTGAGCCCGGCATCGGCGGGTCAATGTGATTTTTGATTTATGTTATCTTAAG